AAACGTCTGGTGTTCACAGCTGAGTTTCATTGCTGTAACCTAGCTCCCTACAGTCCCACCTATATACTTGGCAAGTGCTCTCATTTATGATTTTTTTTTTGCCCTTATAACTCTATAAATCTTATTAAACCTCTTCTGTGTTGGAACACATTATTCAGCTACAACCAGAATCCATGGTCAGCCGCGATCATAGATACGTGGCTCAGTATAAATGACTGCTTACTCCCTGTAAGATGAAAGCTGTACTTTCTGTTGACAGAGTGAACTTGTGTGGAAAAAAAAAATCTTCACAGGAATCCCTGAAGTATATATAGGATGTGTGAAGCCTCCAGGCTATGAAAGACATTCATATGTCAGAAGGTTGGTGCAATCCATCTCAAGGGCAATGTCAGCAAGGATTGTCTAGATTTTATGTGCATACTCACTTAGATTTTAGACTATACTCTGCCATGTCCCTTTTAGTAAACTTATAAGCTTAAGTTACCTGCTTCCTTGAACTTTGTGAGTATTTATACCAACCCATAATCCTGAGAAGGGCATTGCTAAAAACCTTAATTTATAGTCAAATTAGAAGTATAGGTAGCATGGTGACCAGGTGTCTGAAGTGTAATGCATAGTTTTTGGAGTTTTTTAAACTGTAATTAAGATCTTTGGTTCGTAATTTAATTGTAAGATAGCTAGTTGGCATGGAAAATTTTCCATATATTTGGCATTATGTGTTGAATATAGAGGAAGACAGATGGGGATGTAATGTGTATTTGTATGTGTGTACCGTTTATTTTGATTTGAACTGTACTGTAGTTCTGTACTGTACTGTACAGAACTGTCCTGTAGTTTCTGGGTATGACTAGGTATTGTCAGCTCAAGACGGTCTGCTCTAAGATGCTCAGTGCCCCATGGTGGGCACACTAGACACACATCGCACAAATACACTAGCTATACTACAAAGTAAAGAATAAAAACATAGCATTACAATAATAATCAGGACATAAAGCCAACAAGAAAACAAAACAGTAACCAACAAAATAGCTAATTAAAAAATTATTCTTTGAAGTTTTCAAACTTACAGTGTATATTTATTATATCCACCCACTGTCTTCCTCAAACTCCCCCTAGTACCTCTCACTCTCTTGATGTCTTTTAAAAAATTATTATTAACTCCAGAATCCAGTTAATGCTTTCCATATGCACACAAGGGTGTGGTCTTCCACAGGGGCCTAGCAACCTACCAGTAGTCACATTCCCAAGTGAGTGACTCCAGCTCCCTCAGCAGCAAATCAACTGCAAGTAACTCCTCCCATGGGGTGGAGCCTTTGGGGCCCTTTCCCCATCCATGTTAGAACTTGTCTGGCCTAATTTTGTGCAGTTCTTGTGTATGTAGCTCCAGCTGTTGTGAGCTGATGTGTGTAACAAGTGTGCTTTCCAGAAGTCAGTATTTGACAGCTCCCTTCTGCTCGGCCACCTTTCCCATTCCTTCTGATTCTTCTGCAAAGTTTCCTGAGTTGGATAGAGGAAGTTTGATATACATGATTTGCTCAAGATTGAGTATTCAGTTTTGTTGTTGTTTTGTTTTGAGACCGGTTTCACTGTGTTTTGTAACCCTGGCTGTCCTGGTACTACCTCTAGACCAGGCAAACTTACAGAGATCCACCTGCCTCTGCCTCCCCAGTGCTGGGGGCATTAAAGGCATGTGCTACCACCACCCTGTTTGAGTACTCAGCTTTTATACTGGGCCACTTTCCATTACCTACTGTAAAAAGAAGCTTCTCTAACCAAGGTGGAGAGTAGCTTAGATCTAAGCATATGAACATAAATATTTAGAATTCGCCTTGACAGCCTGACCATTTAACAAAACGACAGGTTCTCCCTAGGGCCTATGATCTCTGCATCCCTGGGCTTTGACCATACTTCCTGTACCAGGCATGAAATCCCTGCTGTGGTACAGACCTCAGTCCAGTCAGAAAACTGCTGTTTACCATCTCACTATTGTACCATGGGACACATCTTACCCGTACGTTGGTATTGAAATATGCAGGGTCCAGTTCTGGGTAAGACCACTGGTGTTAATTTCTCCCCAGGAGCCTGTATAGCATCTTCTGGCCCTGTGTCAGCCAACCATCTGAGTTTCCCAGCCAGTTTCAGATTGATTTCTCTGTGTCCTGTATCCAAGATGAGTGGTGTCTTCAGCAGTAGAGTCTTACCATTTAATTATGGTGGGCCACCAAGAACTGGCAATAACCTATGTTTGAGGGTGCCTCAGGTTTCACTGACCAATAACTCAGAATTATATCCCAGGCTTAGCACTGAGGATTTCATTTACTGACCCATGTCTTCTGGGGACAGCAATGTCAGCCACAAAGGTACTCCTTTGATATATATAATTTACATACACACACACATATATATATATATATACATATATATATATATATATATATATATATATATATCACATATATAATTAGCCTACAAACTAATGGATTTCCATAAGGTGTTTTCATATACCCTTTAAGTTGTAGATAACCCATGGCCTACCATCTCCTATCTTCAACCATCTGTTCCTCACTTAAACCATTAATTCCTAATATTTCCATGTAGATGTAATTCTGAACAGTTTTATTAAATAAGAAACATAGAGACAAATGCAGAGTTAAAAACCCAAGCGGTCAGAGCAGCAGCCAAGAGCTAAGACCAAGACTGCCTTCTTACCCCTCACTGTTGCTGTCGTCCTTCCCCTCAGAAAGAGAGCTACTTCCTGTGTGTCTGTCTTTTTATCGACTTTCTGTTCTGCCTTCTCATTGGTTCTAAGCCCAACCACATGACTTCCTCGTCACTGCCTGTCTATTCAGACCTCCAGGTCTCTAAGGTTGGTATTGAGATTAAAGGCATGTGTCTTCATGCTGGCTGTATCCTTGAACACACAGAGAATTTGCCTGTCATGTGATAGGGATTAAGGGTGTGTGCTACCACTGCCAGACTTCTGCTAAATGGCTCGCTATTGGTTCTGACCCCCAGGCAACTTTATTTATTAACATACAAATAAAATCACATTTCAGCACAAATAAAATATCACCATATTTCCCCTTTTTCCTTCCATGTTAATTGTGTTCTCCTATTTGCTCTGATTGAATATTCCTTGAGTTGGATGACCATTGATCTCCACATAGCTTTTGTGTACCCTTCATTTGGCTAAATTTTCTGCCAATACTTCATTTCCACACACACCCGAACGTCTCCAGTACTTGAACTTTCCTGCCTCCAATATTGCCTTGCTCTGCTTTCATTTTACTTCCCCTTGCCCCAAGCGCCCCCACATCCCCACAGTGGCCCGTTCGTAGATTCCTGGCTTCAACATACAAAAGACTCAAAGCTAGGACTTAACATTAGAGAGGACAGGTGCTGTTCGTCCACTGTGCATCCATGACTTCAGGATGATTTTTTTTAGTTTCACTCATCACAATAGCAATTTATGTCTTTGGATTATTGTAAATGAAAATGGGCAAAAATCCTTGATTTTGAGAACAATAGAGTAGGGGCTGGACAAGAGAGCTTAATAGATGAGAGCATTTGCTGAGAACCTGGGTTTGTTTTACAACACCCATTCATAGCCATCCATAACTAGAGTTCCGGGCACCCTCTTATGGATTTTGTGAACATCAGACATTCACGTATGTGGTATACATATAGGAACTATATAAGAAAACACATACATGTGAAAATCTTCTTGAAAATAATTGAAGAAAATGGTTAAATGGATTTTATAAAACCACAACTATCCTGTCTGTTATTTAGGAGAAACTCACATTGATTTAAAGATACAAACAGACTGAACAAAAACATTCCATTCAAATGATAACCAGTGGAGAGGAAGTGTGATTATAGCAGACAAACAATTTAAATAAAACAGTCATAAGCTGATAACCAGCAGCATGCCTTTGGGCTTTCAGAACTGTGAGCTAAATAAATAGATTTTTTTTTTTTTTGAGAACTGAGACATAGCAAAGCAAATTGGATTATGATACCCATCAAGACCAAATCAGAAAAAATTAGAAAAATTTAAGCAGACTTAAACTGGATAAGAAATTGAGAACAAAAAATTTCCTGAAGAGAAGCTTTTCTAGATGGACACATGGGTGGTTTCTACCAAATGTTTTTAGCTGAATTAAACAATCTTGCTTGAATTATGCCTGTCCACCAAGAAAGAAGCAAAGAAGTTTCCAAACTCTTGTAATGCCAGCAGCACAGGATACCAAAGCCAGATAAGAATATCCCTGATGAACACGTAAGCACCAATGGGAAACTGGTAAATGCAGCAGCACATTGAATGGAGTATACTCCACTGATTTTCTCTTGAGATGCAAAGACACGCTAACTAAGGAACCTAATCAATATACCATACCACTGACAAAAAAATGGAAGAACAGTACAATAGTTGGCACTGCTGTGTGTTGTATATGACTTCCAAATGATTGTGTATAGGACCCTTAATTCTGCAACACAGTAGTTTTCAGATTTGAGGCCTGGTGGGAAGCATCTGGGGTGTGAAAACAGGGACATTATGACTTGCCCATAGTGGCCATTCAAGACTTTCTCATACATGAGTGATACTGTAATGGCATTCATCTGCCCACTTCCCACAGAGCTCACACACACAGCATTTTGTGCCTTACTATTTTTGATAACTTCCTGTCATAGCCCGAGACAAGATCATTTATGTCTTTGGGAACTGCAGTCCAGACAATGTATTTTCACATCAGGTCTCCATTGCCTCACGATCCTAAGTTCATCTTTGCTCTGTCAAAGCTGATAAACAGCAGTGGGCAGGTGAACTTTGTCCTAGGAATATACAGTTGGGAATCTGAGTTCAAATGTACCCGTCTTTATGTGGACTGTGTGTGTTACTTACACTACTGTCATTGTTACCTTTGCTGCTTAATACTGAACTCAGAATGAAAACGATTGTTTTCTGGTCCATTATTTTAAATTATTTGAGAATATTTTAAGGGAAATGTTTACTTGTTCCAAAGGTGCCTAGACAGACGTTGTAATTATTAACTTGTTTTCTCAGAAGTATTGTGTACTTACTGATGAGATCATGGGCACTTCGGGATTGTAAAAATCTTCATGAGACATGCAACTGAAGATGAGGGTGAGATGCTCACTATTTATTTTTATGTTATTCATCTCAGAAGAACTCTGTGCAGAAGGTAATGTTAATTCTTTTAGCATTCTTCAATCTCTACAATATAAATGAAAAACTGAGAGTCTAACGGTCATTACTTAAATTTTAACCTAATTATTTTGTTTCAATATGCCAATTTGGTAATACGTGCTTTAAATAACTTGTTTTAACATTTTGCCAATGTTTCTTTGGACATAACTGGCATTTTTATAGTAGTGTAACTTGGTCAATCAAAGCAAACTCCTTTATTTCTCTAGATTTGGGAGCATAGGAAGCCAGGATCTAACGACTTTAAAGAGTTTTCTGGTTAATATGCAGCAGTTTGGAAATCACATATTTGCCTTAATTATATTTTTAGGTAAGAATTCATGCATAATACTAACACTTGCATAATTTGGTTCTCTCCTCTTATGGCTAGAGTTTAATGTGGGAAATATGAAAAAGAACAAAATCATCCCCAAGATTTCTACTCATGGTACTGTTTTCATTGCCTGGAGCTATTAAGTAGCAATTACTTTGAGGGCAATATTGTAGATTATAGAAACAGGAGCACCGGGGAAGAGAAAGGCTGAAGAGGTGACTCTGTCACAACAATGCTATAAATTAAATTGTCCAGAGATAGCAATACTACAGATTTACTGTTACAGATCTTTATGGGTAGACTCCCTAGAGTGTAAACCAGATGTGAGTGAAAGGTGGGCAATGTACCGGTGGGAGTTACTTGGGACTTTGTCAGTGTCATTAGATGGTAAGGTTAAGTCTAAGCAGGCTAGTCAGTGACTAGCCAGAACTCCTTTAAATGAACATCTATAATTATAATTGTGTTTTAGTTGAATAGTTTATATAAAATTTTCTACCAATGATATATACATGAAACTATGTTACTCTTATTCCACACAAGTAAAGAAAGTAATCTTGCAGACTAGAACAATATTCCTGTCCTAGTCACAACACCAGTTGAGAACCTCATAGGTAAGAAGTGTCTTAAATCTACCCCTGATCTCAAGTTACATTTCTCCTAGGACCCACTCCAGAGTTTGGACATGCTATTACATATGAAATTGGCCTTGTAAAGTATGTATTTTTTAAAATGAGTTTTGCTGTTGTTTGATGTTGTGTCATAGGTGCCACAGTACAGAGGGAAGCTCACCAAGATGCTAAGCCTTCATTTTGCAAAGGGACAGAATGCACAGCCTTCTTGGAAAAGACTGACACTCAGCTAGCTCACTCCAGTTACTTATTCAAACACACACAAGGTTAATTGGAGCTGGGAAAGGTTCCAACTACCAAAATCATCTTGTTCTAGCTTCCCATGAGAGCAGACAACCCACACACATCTCAGTCCCTTTTGATTAGGGCTTGCCATAATCAAATAAGTAACATTTAATAGTTTACAAAGACTCCCCAAAATCCAGCTCTCAAAAGGCATAAATCATAAAGACAATTAGGAAAAAAAAGGGAATCACAGAAGTCTTAACATCCAAAGAAATATAGGAATAAATGTGAATAAACAAAAGAATTCCAGGTCTGCGAGAAGTGAGTGTTTTGTTACCAATTTTGGTGCAGCTGCAAGCTCTCACATAGTACTAAGTACAGATTCTCCCGAGGGGGGAAAAACATTTCCTCAAGGTTTAAACAGTCTCAAAACAACTTTTCAGCCTCTACTGATTAACCCAAGCATAGCAAAGGCTTTGCTGAAACGTTTTCCTCGAGCCAGACACAAAGGCTTTACTATACATATCACTACATTTTGCCCTCATAATAATGAAACCTTATTGAAGACTTTTATCTTCTAAGTGTTTTACTTTATGAGATACTATTATTTCCACATTGCTTTTAAGTGTTGTAGAATTTCATGTATTTTATTTATCTGTTCTTCTAATGATGGGCATATAGTTATTCTAATTCCCATTCATCCATGAATAGCTCTGAAATCAATATGGCCATATGATCAGGTCATCTCTCTGACTTGTGCTGGACTTCTATGGCAATTAAGAATAGAACACTTTGCAAAACAGTATCTAATTTCTGCTTCAGAGCTTATAATCTCCTCAAAATTAGCGTGTTATTCTTGCCTCTCATCCTCCTTATGAATACTTCAAATTCTCCTATTTGAGACCCTGTCATTGCCTAGTGATATCTCCGTATTATTTCTGCATAGTTCCTTGCTTCTTAGGAAGTTTGCACATTTATTCCTATATCTCTTTGGATGTTGAGACTTCTGTAATACACATTTTTTTCCAATTATCTTACTTTATGCCTTTTGATAGCTAAATTTTGGGAAGCCTTTTGTGGACTATTAAATGTAACTTCTTGGCAGTTTTTGATCTTTCAAATCCTTTGTTAAACATTATGTGTATTTCTCATGGACAGTGATTTTATCTAAAGTAATCCTGATTTTGATAGTATAAAGTCCATTATTTGTCTCATAGTTTCTGCTTTCTTCCTAAACCTCTGAAGCCCAGAATGTGATGCCCCTGGAATTGTGCAATATAAGAACTTTGCTGTCATAAAGAAGACAATAAAAAGTTTTACATTTATTGTATTTATTAGTTGTTCCCCTAAAACTATTCTGCTACTTCATACACTTGATGGATTATTTATGTTGTATATTTTCATGATCAGTAGGGCCGCTTGTTTTGTCTTCAGTAGTTCTATTTTTTTCCGGTGTGTATTGCCTGTGTCTTTACTTATGCATTTAAGGATACTTGTCATGCAGTTGTGAAGTTCTGGGCCTATTTGCAAAGCATGTGTCATCTAGCGTTTATTGTGTAGTCAGTTGACTCTTTCATTATGATGACTTCTTGACTCTTTTCTGGTGAGTTTCCATTCATCAAGTCACGTTTTCTGCCTCTGCTGGTGTTGGAAGAGCAGGTCCAGGACTGGGGACATAAGGTATAGCCCAGGATAGTCTGCCCATCGGCTGATGTTGTCACTATCCAGAACAGTGGCCTTTGGGATCATCACTGTTCTCCATAGCACAGCTATTCGGGGTCTTTCTATTGTAAACTCCTGGTGCTTGGGTATGGGAAATGCTAGAGTTCTTTGGGACTCTACTGCACGTGTTTCATTAGATGCTGGCAGTAGCATGGTGCCTATGATTTTTGTCCTGTTTTTCTCAGCCCTGACTGTTACTACCATTATTTTCTGCCTAAAGCAGCAGCAAAGCAGCAAAGCACAGAGGTAACCATTCTGATTTCTTTACCATGGTTTACTTTGCCTCCTCAAACACTTACATGAAACTAGCTTTTTTTTTTTCACTCACTATTATGCTTTTGAGGACGGTTTGAAAATTGTGGGCTTATATCCAGCCCACTCTGTTGTATGTTTGTTTAAACTAGTGTTTCTCAACCTACGAGTCACAACCCCTTTGGCATCACATATCTGATATCCTGCCTATCAGATATTTTTATTACGATTAATCACAGTAGCAAAAATATAGTTATAAAAGTAGTAACAAAATAATTTTATGGTTGGGGATCACCCCAACATGAGGAACTGTTAATATGAAAGGGTCGCAATATTAAGGAAGATTGAGAACCACTGGTCTAAACTGTATCTTTGCTGCCATTACAAGGAACTTAGGTTATTTGCAGTCTGATGCTGCTATGAACAGTGATGACATAAAAGTGATTTCTGTCTCTTTGAACTCACTGTGTGCCTTTCAAGGAGGTGACCTTGTGTGAGTTCTGCTTTAAGAAGTATCTCTAGTATGCTTTCTCATGTATGAGAGGTCCCATTTCTCCAGTCATTGTGAGAATTTGTCCTTTTCCTTGCAGTCTTTTTAGTGGTATTGCAGTAATGTAATGGCGGTTTGATGTTAATTTCCCAATTATTCATCAAGCTAAATATTTGCTCTCTGGCCACTTGAACAATCTTGTTTTCAAAGTTATTGTTGAAACGTTTTATTTTAATTGATTATATGCCCCCTTTCTAAAAGAAAAACCACTTATCTTACAGTTATGTTCAGTTTCTGTATCTCGGCGACCTCATTTGTTCTAATGTAGCATACAGTAGTCACACAGGTTGGCAGCCTACATCTCTGGGTCCCCATCTGTGGGTCCATCTTTAGATGGATCCAACTTTAGATGGAAATTAGTTTGGAAAAAAATTCCAGGAAGGTCTCAGAAACAAAACTTAAATTTGAATTCACAGTCATAAAACACTGGGCAGGCATTGTGCTAAATATTCTAAGCATCCAATGATGATTCAAATCACATGGGTGGAGGTGTGTAGGGTATGTGCAAATTTTTAATCTCAGTCTAAGAGATTGGAACATCCATGGGTTTGGGCATCTACGGGGAGTCTTGGAATCAACTCCCTGCCAGTATAGTGTCAGCTCTATGGTTACTGAGAAAGGAAACACAGCAGGTCCAAGCAGAGCTGTTCTGTGAATGAAATGCCTGCTGGACTGAAAGTAATCACAAAGAATGCAAAACATTTTAACACATTGGATTAAATAAAACCTATTATTGAAACAAGCCAAGCTTTTATATTTATTTTTACTTCTACAAATGTGACTTCCAGAAATGTTGAAATTGCATAGGTGACGTCAGGATGTGTCTACGAGCGGGTTATTCTGCAAAGCTAGAACAAGGTTCCAGGAAGGAATCACCTGTTAGTTATTCTGAGTAATACAGCTATTCAGAATTGCCAGCAGATATATAGAGGGGAGTGCGTGGTATTAGATATTTAGATAGTCACACTATCACTTCTAAGCTTGGGTTATGAAAGTAAGTGCAAACTGAAGAGTCTGCAAAAAAATATTTAGGAATGTTGTTTGATCACAAGTTACATGGGTTTACATGTTTTCCCATTTACAGCTTGAGTTTTCCTCATTTCAGAGAAACCGTGTGATTTTCCTGCGGTGGAAAATGGAATGATTGCCCAATACTATTATACGTTTAGAAGCTTTTACTTTCCAATGAGCATAAACAAAAAGCTATCGTTCTTCTGCTTGGCTGGCTATGCAACCGGAAGTGGGAAGCAAGAAGAGCAAATCAGGTGTACAACAGAGGGGTGGTCTCCAAAGCCAAGGTGCTTCAGTAAGTCAGTGCATGTTGTCAGCACGATGCTTATAAACTCATTCCTGATAAGAGAATGTTTACCTATATTAAATGTGAACAGTGGTTTAACTTTACATAGATAATAGCAAAATTACCATTATAAAATTGCCAGACATGAAATTCTGTACAGGATACTTTTATATCAATAAGTCATTTCATCTGTTCTTAATGGTACTTGTGAAGAAATATTTAAAAATGTTATTTTTCATGATACAAATGACAGGTACATTTGGACTACTTTAAGTATGGAGGAACTTCTCATATTCATAATCTTTAATAGGAAGCTGAAATAAAATGTAAGGCCTGGTTTCATAAGGGATGAGCCATCCTTCTAGTGCTTTTTCGTGTTGTATTTGTCACTCATCTGCATGCCCACTTTTCTTTTTCCTATCCATTGAAAACTGAAGTTTTCTGTGTACTGACTTCAAATTTGTGAGTAGTATCATAATGGGCTCATTGCATTGCTTCATGGCATGGTGTGTCACTTTATCACTGACTTCTCTGTGCTTATGTAAAATGTCTTAAGTCGAGAGTCCCCTGAATTCCCATTTTCCAGAGCAAAGAGCTTACCTTAAGTCCTTTCTATTCAGAGGAAGAATTCTGGTATGGTAGTAGTTCTGTGTAAACAGAACTGCATAGGATAATCATTCATTCTGTGACTTCAGGACAGACCAGAATTTAATATGACATTAACATAAAACATAGAGATATAGTATAAATCTCACTATAACATCATAGAAAGAAGTCATATGCCTTGAACTTGCTCTCTTAAGAAATAGAACATTGCCTAAAATGTTCTTTGTCTTTGTACTTACTATTTTCATGTATAATATATATTATCCACTCTTTACTCTAGACTATTCTTTGAGCTCTACCTTTTTATCTTCCTTCACATTCTCAGTTCTGACTGAGTCCTGTTTTGAAGATTTTTCTGACCAACTTTTCCTTCCTCATTCCTTTTGTTGTTTTCTGTGATTGCAATTTTGCACACTTAAATTTTCATGCAATTCATTCGTTTACTTCAATACTTAATCCAAGTTAATTTTGTTTAGAAATCTTTTTTTTTGCCGATAGCAATTTTTTTCATTCAAAAAGAAAAAAATTAAAAAGTATGTATAATGTATGTAATTATAAGTTATATGTGCAATTTCTGCCTTGTAATTAATGTATACATTTATGCCATTCTTTTTCATTGTCCATCCTCTTAATATTAGCATATATATATATATATATATATATATATTAGAATATTAAAACTTTCTGATTATAAAAAAAAGAAATAGAACATTGCAGAGATTGACATGGGAACATAATGGTCAAAATAGAATCTCTACAATCAACTGATTGCATACAATTTCAGCACAACCCCTATGGAAGTGACTTCAAAATATTAGCTTGTTTCTAATGCAAAAAAAAATGTAGTTAATGTTACTTCAGTAGAAACTTTCACATAGAGGGTTTGCCGCACAGCTCAGCTCACACTAAATGTGTTTGTGCTAATATTAACTTTGGACAAGTCTTTTAACCTTTCTAGATTGCTTTGTCATAAAGGTTCAATAATATGGCTTATGAAAGTGATAGGGATCTTTAATGTGAAATATTGTTATTATATTATATTTATCAAAATCTTGATTGTAGGCTCAAAGGTTTTCAGGATCATATGTATGACTTAGTCAGTCTATGTACATTGACTCCTGGATCCTGTACAGTGAGGTGATCCCAAAATATTTTCTGAAAGAATAAATGAATAAAGGTTTTATAGTCAGATGCTTTAGAACTATTTAATTATACATTATGTTTTGATTCCATTATAAAACAATGGAATAAAACATCAAACAGATCAAGAAGAAATTGCTCTTGCTTGTGATTGCTGACAATTAGTAAAAAGCTATTGGTGTATTTTCCAAAAGAAAATGTGATAAGCGTAGGAGTGGCTATAAAAATAGAAAACTGTAAATACAAAAACAGTTAATGTCACACTGAATCCAAATGGATTTTATGCAGGGCATACAAGATATTTCCAAAACTGAACTATATCAAGGGGTGAAAATTATTTTACTCCTCAAAGTTCCAACTAAGAGTAATATTATATGTGTGTGTTCATTTTTCAGTTTAGTAAAGCATAATCTGAATTCTACTATGAAACGGACTGACATTGTAATTTCATCGTGAAACTAAAGCACATTTACTTTCACAACACAGAAAAATGCCTGAAGCCTGTCCTAAGGAACGGTTATGTCTCTGATGAGAAAGTACTGTACAAAATTCAAGAGAGCATGCGCTATGGTTGCACTTCAGGATACAAAACCACTGGAGGAAAGGATGAGGAGGTGGTTCAGTGTCTTCCTGAAGGATGGTCTTCTCAACCGTCCTGCAGGAAGGAGCAAGGTACACATACAATAATGTTATTTTCTGAAGCTGAGCATAAGGTATTATGAGGTTAATGTTTCACTCGAGAGACAGTTTTATTTTGTAATAATTGATTTTTCCACTGTGTCTCTTCTGTGTGAGAAGTTGACAGTATTTTGCTTTTCTCATATGCTTGGTGTTTTCTTATTCCGTGGGTTCTTAACTCCAGCAAGTCTCTTGCCTCATCAGATCTTACTTTGGACTATTAAGAAAGAGCTGAAGTGTTCAAAGTGAAAGAACACTACTAAGCTTTCTGTATAATTCATGCAAATATTTTCTTCTGTGCTAGATAATTTGACAGTAGAAGTTGTTTAAATTATGCATATCCACAGATGACACTTAATCAAAATATTTCTTCACAAGACTGCATTTGAAATGAGGTCTTTGGTCAAGTATAATGGACCAGTATTTCAAAGTAGAAGACTGGTAGAGGTGGCCTACACGAATATGAAAAGGAAATCACAGAGGCAAAGGCAGAGTGATGTTTTCCATTTTGCAACAATTGGCTTTGCCACACATTATTAATAGTCAATGAAATACACTTTGTAACTTCTTTTTACTATTCTAGGGTATTGGTGAAGCTTATCAAAGTTCCTAAGATTTTTGTTTAACTTTTCAGAGACATGCTTGGCCCCTGAGTTGTATCATGGCAATTATTCCACGATGCAGAGAACGTTCCAAGTGAAGGAGAAAGTGCAGTACTCATGTGCTGCTGGCTACTACACCGCTACAGGGAAGCAGGCAGAGGAAGCAGAGTGCCACACCCACGGGTGGTCCCTCACACCACAGTGCAACAGTAGGTTCTCACATCAGGAAGAACTTTTGCTGCAGAGGTTCATCTAGTATACGATGTCCCTGCCAGTAACTGTTTGTGACTCTTAGCTTTGTTTTCAGTTGTAATTTAGTTAATAGTAGACTTTGGTCATCTAAAGCTCTCAAATAGGACAACCTCATTTTAGCCATTGTAACTAATTTCATTTAAACCTGCTGATATTTAACAAGATAAAAATATATTAATAAACTTATAGAACAGATTTTAGCAAATGTTATAATATCTATTCCAAATATGTATTGTAAATTTCTACTGGGAAAAATAAATGTTTTGTTATTTTTATCTATTCTTTCATTTTTTTTTAGAATTAATGTGCTCTTCTTTGAGATTAATAGAAAATGGCTATTTTCATCCTGTAAAGCAAACCTATGAAGAAGGAGATGTAGTTCAATTTTTCTGTCATGAAAATTATTATTTAAGTGGATCTGATTTAATTCAGTGCTATAACTTTGGCTGGTATCCCGAATCTCCCATATGTGAAGGTAACTTTTAAAACTTTCATACTTAACAAAAATGAGCTTTAATCTCTATGCTCTCTGAATGTTCACATCTAATTCTAATTCCAGAACTATTTTGAAAATAATTATTACATATCAAGTCTTCTATCTGGAGAAACTAAGCTCTGTGTACTTTTGTGTACTAAGCATTATCTGTTGTTATATTTAACATGTGTATATCTGAATGTATATATGTGCTGTGTGTGCATATGTTTGTGTGGGTGCATGTGCAAGTGTGTATGTGGAAGTTAGAGGTTCCTGCCAGGTGTTTCCCTTGGCCCCTCTCCTTGGTAGTTTCAGAAGGTAGTTCTCTCATTGCACCTGAGCTTATTGAATTGGTTGGAATGCTTAGGTAATGAACATCGGATTGCCTCCATCTTCACCTCCCTAGTGCTGGGTTACAGGTAACTGCCACTGCGCCTGGCTTTTTCACATATGCTAGGGATTATACTCAGGATTCCCTGTTTATAAGGTAAGCAACTTTATAAGTCTCACTACCTCCACAGCCCTGTGTTTAATATTTTAAAGCCCCTGTCATACATTTTCAATCTGTAGCTGGGTGAGGCACTTTCTTAATTGGCCACACATTTCTTGATGTGAAAAATCCATCTTCAAAATAATGGAGTAGGAAGCACAGACAGCAGAAGAATATTAGCCTGGAGGGGAAATAGAAAACGAGGTCCGTCATCTAGTTAGATCAGTCCAGACATGTAACAGCTAAGGTTTGATTTCTATCACTGGTTGTGTTCAAAGGGGTGCTGTGATTACCTTCAGAAGATACCACTTCATAGCCATAGAGGGGCCTCATATGGCAGAGGAAACTTAAGTACACGTGTGTGAGTAAACATTCAAGATTTTGATTAGTACAGTGTGAGAGAATTCTTCCATATTCATAGAAAGGACAGATAATATTTGAGCTGGGTCTTAAAAAATAAAAATCTGAGGATTTGATGAGGGATGAGAGACAAAAGGTACAATAGCCGCTATTTCTGTAATCTAGGAAATGATGTTATTATTGACAGGCAGGCCAAAGACATGGGAGTGAAACAGGAAAGTGTGATTGAAATAGATGCCAGCAGGAAGGGAAGAGGTGTCTGGACAGGACATGGGTGACAGTGCCTTTACCTATCATAATTCTGTAATGCAGTGAGCAATTGCTTTGAAGTTTTAGCAACTTTTTAGTTGAGCCCAACAGCCTTGGTATAACCGTATAGGGGGTTGGTAGCAAGTGGTCTGTAGCATATTGTCTCAAAAATATATGATGGACTTACTGCCTGTTTTGTACCCCCTCCAAATTAGCATGGCCACATGCCTGTGATTTTATAATTAATAGTTATTGTGTGCAGTATAATAATATACTCCCCAGCCGCAGATATCCTCATCCTAATCCTGGAGCCAGCATAGTAAATTCATGAGGCAAAAGAAATTCGGGGGTTGACTAAAGATCTTGAGGTATGGCTATTATCTGAGCTTATTTATTTGGACCCTAAACACAATGACAGGTGTCATTTTAAAGGGACCTGAAAGGGTACTTGAGAACAGAAGAAGAAGTTGGATATGTAGCAATGGAAGAGAACAGTTTTATCTTTATAATACGTGAGGGATTTGTTTAGGATGAAAGGGGACGGTGACTGTAAAATATTCAAGATAACCCAAGAATATTGCTTAACTGGTCCTGTAGGTCAAGGTGTGGGGATGGCCTCATTGGCTGTTGAGTTACGTCAGTGCAACTTGAAGGTTTGGCTTGGCAGTAACACTTCAGATTCACTGCGGGTGTTGGTGGCTCTCTGTGCTTTGCAGGCTGCTCAGTCACAGGCTTGCTGGGTTTTGGTTGAGATAGTCATCTAACCCTTGCCATCTGGCGTCCTTTATTTGGACTCTCGTCGCGCAGCAGGTTGATTATTCAAAGCCAGTAGGGAGAGGGTCTTCCAGGAAGAATGGCATTGCAAATCTATATTGGCCACCAGGTCACATAACCTCATACTAATTCATCATCTTTCCTTAAGAAACAATTGACAGATTGCACTCTTGGGAAGGGACGCCATGTCAGAGAGCAGTCAGGAAAGGGTTTTCCCTGGTGCCTGTCAGCCATATTTTCTATGGTTCTTTACACCATAAATATTACCAATAAATCTTTATTTTTTATAATTACATGACTAAATAGACTGACATTCTTTCACAAGGAAGAAGAAATCGATGTCCTCCTCCACCGGTGCCTCAAAATTCCAAAATTCAACCACATTCAACAACTTACCGTCATGGAGAAACAGTTCGTATAGAATGTGAACTTAATTTTGTGATTCAGGGTTCAGAAGAACTACTCTGTGAAAATGGGAAGTGGACAGAACCTCCCAAATGCGTTGGTTGGTAACACCTTTTTCTGTTAGTTTTCATTATTATTTTAAGTTGTGTATTTAATAATGAGATTTATTGCAACATTCTCGAACATATGTATCATTTTCCCTTTGTTCTTATTCACAGTCTACCCTATACTACTCTCCCTACTTGGTAGTATTTGGAATAAGTGTCTCCTAAAATACTATGTAGCTCAATGGTCTCTTTCTTTAATTGTACCTTCACAGAAGAGAAGGAGAAGGTAGCCTGTGAGCAACCGCCCTCCATTGAAAATGGTGCTGCACAAGCACACTCTGAGATTTACTACAGTGGGGATAAAGTGACATATAGGTGTGAAGGTAGCTACCATCTCCGGGGATCAAGTACAATAACTTGTAATCGTGGCCAATGGACGCTGCCCCCTGAGTGTGTTGGTATGTATATACTTCTATCATTTGAGCCTATGATGCTTTTTTCTTCTGTTCAGTCTGTCTATGCAAGGCCAGACACTAATGCTTGCAAAATTTAGAGACATGTATCTACTGAATCTACTGTGTGGATTTTTGAGTATGTAGGTTTATTTTAGAATTTAGACCAAATTTAATAATTCAGAATCAAAACATCATTTAAAGTGGACTACTGCTAGGCTGTTGTGGAAGTTGTGTTAACTCCGTGATTTGTGGAGTTTAATTGACCACACACATGTGAGATGTGTTTCATTAAAGAAGTAAACAGATAGATGTCTGGTTAGTAGTTGGCCCTGAGTATGACTGCTTCCCCTCCCCAATGTTCTTGTGGTCAGTACTGGGCACTCTCTCCTTCTCTACGGGTAAATCCTGCTGATTGGAATTTTGCATCTTATCCTTCTAAATCTTGCAGCTTCTAAGGGGAACACCCTTGGTTTTGATTTTATTGAAGGATATCACAAGGCTAAACTCATTCCTCATAGTCATCTTTCCTACCATCTTTCCCATATTTTGATTAAATATTGAATAAAGTTTGCCAAACATGCTTACCTATTTATTACATAAGAAAAAAATGAATTACAAAAGAGGTTAAATAAATTAACTGAGGAAGAGAAACTGGGAGAGAGTATATATTTCATCCATGTGTTAACTGAGAATAGTGATGAAAAGAAAGGAGAAGGAGCCGGGCGCACACCTTTAATCCTTGCACTCGGGAGGCAGAGGCAGGCAGATCTCTGTGAGTTCGAGGCCAGCCTGGGCTACAGAGCGAGTTCCAGGAAAGGCGCAAAGCTACATAGAGAAACCCTGTATCGAAAAACCAAAAAAGAGAAAAGAAATAAAAGAGAAAGAAGAAAACAGGAGTGAATAAGGCAGAGGGCAGTTTCAGAGTGGACTACAATCTTTACGATCATTCTAAGCATTTCTAAGCATTTAAGAACATCCTTATCACAGTCGCTTTATCATCAAGGAAAGAAGAAACATACATGAATTTGTTCTTGCTCTTTGTTCTTGATTAATATACTTTAAAAAATACTTAAGCTAAGAAGTTTTGTATTTCTGATTAACTTAGAAACAATTGTCTAAGTGATAGCGCAAATATTGAGATACTGTGTTTGGATAACTGTATCATTGTATTGCTATCAGTTTATTAAATTTCCAAACAATCCCCTTTCTTAGAAAATAAGGAGGACTGTAAGCCTCCACCTGAAATAGCGAATGGTGCTGTTGTTGATGAGTTACTGGCAAGTTACACAACAGGGTCGTCAGTGGAGTTCAGATGCAATGAGTATTACTTATTGAGTGGATCCAAAACGTCTCGCTGTGAACAAGGGAAGTGGTCATCTCCACCTGTTTGCTTGGGTAAGCAAGAGAACACATAATTGAATTTATTTTGGTAGCATTTTTTAAAATAATGTTTACAGCAAAAAAAAAAATACTTTCTTACACATTTTCCATGATTTGTTTAAACAGGAGACCTGTTACATCCTAGTGTGGATCTACATTCGTTTTTTTGCATTTTAATTTTATTATAAAAATATACATGCCGGGTGATGGTGGCACACGCCTTTAATCCCAGCACTCGGGAGGCAGAGCCAGGCGGATCTCTGTGAGTTCGAGGCCAGCCTGGTCTCCAAAGTGAGTTCCAGGAAAGGCGCAAAGCTACACCGAGAAACCCTGTCTCGATATATAAATATATATATATATATATATATATATATATATATATATATATATATATATATATATACATAGCATATAATTGGTCATTTGGGGCACACAGTATACAATCTAGTGACAATATTTAAGCCCTATGACCACATCCTTTATGTGTAGTGTTCTGCCTAGCTGCAGATTTCCCCTCTGTAGACCTCACTATCTTTACTTGTAGTGCCCTCAGATCACCATTGGGAGAGAAGGGCGCCCCCCCCCCTTTTTTGTCAGAGTACATTGCTAAGAACTTCGATCCACTTCCTTCCTCACCCAGTGGTCCTTCGTTACTCTCCAAACCTTGTCTGAATTAACTATTGTGGGTGACTTAGATCATGTATACAATAGTATCACACACAAACAAGAACACAATGAAACATGCTTTGTACTGTGTGGGAGATGTATTTTCTCCACTTAAAATGTGGTGTAAATCTGGTTTGATGGTTTCATGTCTGCGTAGTATTCCATAGTGTCTATGTACCATAAATAATTCAAATAATCACTTCATTGACATATATTCAGTGTTTTAGCATCTTTACAAAACAATAAATTTTGCAGCAAAATATTTTTGTACTTCAAATACTTACATTTTTCTTTAAAAATTACTTACATTTATTTTTTCCTATTTATTTTCTTACATTTTTTTCAGATTTCCTGAATGTATATTTCCAGACCAAATATCTGAATTTTTTCTTAATTGTCGAATTGTCCTTAAGATATTTATTTCTGGCTTATAACTCTTCCATTAAGAAATTGAAGTTACAGTTTTCTTAAGCTTAGTTAAACTTTGGATATTTTAATTATCGTGTTATTGTTTATCTAATAATTACAATGATTTTAATTGTGTTTATGTATAACTTAGTTAGGCAGCTTTCAGTTTTCTAGTGGTTCAGGTTTGTTGTTTCCTGAATCATTCATCATCATTCAGCTTTCATGTTCTTCTTTCATGTGTACCGTAGCAACATAATTTATATTAACCACTGAGAATCACATACCTTGGAAATATTTTTCTTGATTTTATTTATAATGTTTTAAAACATAGACACCTTCAGTTTTAGCCTTTGTTGTTTCTTCTACCCTTCAAGTCATTCTGAGAATGCTGTGCCCGTGACATCAAATACATCTTCAATTATAATTTTTCTGTTACTATTATATTGTCATAAGTGCTTTGATATTGAATTTTGGTGATGTGATTGATATTGTGTTGAACTGAAATATAAGCTTCCTGAGGACAGATACTCAGTTAAAATAGCAGTGAAACAACTTCATAAGGAATAGCAAGATTAAAAAAAAAATTCTGCTCCTGGAACAATTGCCATAAGACATTCTGAGCTAACACTAATGAATCAAAGCATGCACTAAGCAAGGGTCACCTTTGTAAGCAGGGTACGAGGAGAGAGCATTACCATCTTGTTATCTGTTAGACCGACAGTTCTTCCACTGCAGGTTCAAACAGCAGCACAAGGGTGCAGCTTTCCATCTGCGTCAGTCTCCAGACATGAGTCTCTCTAGCATCTCCTTGTCCATCTCCTCATTCTCACAATGCTCCAGCAATACTGCTTTCTTTATCTTCGCCATGATTTCATTTTGGGAATCTTTATATTGATTGCTCCCTTCCATGTGAAAACAACAAGGTTTAAATCCTTAAAACCTTTATCAAGTGTAATTCTCATTTAGGCTTACTGGAATCATTTTAATTAAGAGGTCACACTTCCTTCCTTCAGCCTTTTTGATAGTCCTTCCCATATAGCCCTCTTAACTTACAGTGCAGCTGTAAGATGGTTACAAACCACAACAATTTATGTATTTATTATATTTATGATTTATTATGGAAGTTTCTGTTTCAGTATGAGCTCCATGAGTTCTTATTGATAGATATGGATTGAATGGCAGTTTCTCTATAAATATTTATAAGTTAAATGCATGCTCTGCTTGAAGGTAGTTAGTTAATTTAAAAATTATGTTTAAAATTGTTGATTAATGACCTGAAGTAATCGTTTAATTTTGGAAACTAATTGGTTTAAAAATCTATGGCATCATGAAAATAAGAAATATATAACTAATTAATTTGGCAGTATATATTTTCTTATTGACATTGTCATATCATGGGCCTATGGTTTATGACCGGATAAAACAACTTATGTTGCCTGAATCTTGAGACAAAGAACTAAGAGGCCCATGTTGTGGTGGGAAAGCAAACCCATTCCCCTCCCTCTCTGCTGTCTCCACGAAGGAGATCTACCATGCCTCTCCTGTGGCTTGATCTCTGTCTCCTGCAGATGGAGAAGGAACACATAAAAATGTTCTTCCTTATTTCTGCCCCTCCGTAGAGCTCTGTTGCTCAACCCCAAACCAGCTCTGAGTTGTGTCCAAGCTTCCTATCCAAAGGCTCCCAGCTAAGTGCCTCCAAGGCCAAACTCCCTAAGTCAGAATCCCTAGTAGTAAACCCATATATTACCTGAGAATAGCCACACTCTAGAGGAAAGTTATAAAAAATAAGTAATTCCTTTTGTTCCACGGAATTCTATACTTGTCTGTGTGCTGAAACCTGGAGCCAATGAGTCCAATGTAGTGGTCAGTGTGGAACTACCCCTCAGTTCCTGTATGTGTCTCTACACATGTTACTTCTTCACCTAAGATGATGTATAAGCTCTAATAAGGATGAACATCAAATTATAATATTACTTTAGATGTCTATTATAATTTTATTGTAAAATATATTGCTCACATATTTGTCAGATTATTGATAATTTTAAAAGAGCATTTTGTTTTTCAGAGCCATGCACTATTGATGTGGATCACATGAACAGAAATAACATACAGATGAAGTGGAAATACGAGGGCAAGGTTTTACATGGAGACTTAATAGATTTTGTGTGTAAACAGGGATTTGACTTGTCTCCAACAACCCGACTGTCTGAGGTATCTGTGCAGTGCAATAGAGGAGATGTGAGATACCCCGTGTGTGTTAGAAGAGGTAAAGAATTAACACTGGACATGTTGCTCGATTAGTGTCTGCAGCCTTGTCTTCTAACCACAGTTGGAAGTGACTCAGTTTTCTGCTTCTTGTCAGCATACACACTCCCAAACCATGACTATGCCAACAGATTTCCACTGAATGACTATTTATGAAGAGAAATGGAGAGGTTTCCTAAATAAACCCATACTGTCTGAGAGTTGATTTTCCTCAGGTAGAAGCCCTGTAAAGCTTTGGTTTACTCAGGATTTGCTGGGAACCTTTGTCTCAAGAAAGGGTTTAGGGCAGAATATAAGAGATTTTATTTATTTCCTGGATCTAGGGGCTATTTCCTTTAATAGTAGAAAAGCAAGATAATACATATGGAAGGCATATGCGTTTGGCTTGACTAAAAGGGAAAATATTAAATCATATTGCTAATATTTTGCTAGTTGTAAATATGCATTCAAGTTTTACAACATGAAGTTCAAATTATGATAATACATTGCGTAGCATGGTATTTATTGTAGAATTATCTTCAATACTAGAAAGTGTTGATAACTGCCCTAATAGCACTTTTAAATCAGTGAAGTATCTCATTTTATTTCCGTAGCAGTCATCAGACGCTGAAAGTTCATTGTAGCCAATATTGTAATCTGTAAAATCATTTTTCAGAGTCTAAAGGGATGTGTACATCTCCTCCACCGATAAAAAATGGAGACATTGTTAGTTCAGCAGTCAGCACCTACGAAAATGGCTCCTCGGTAGAATACCAGTGTTTTGATAACCATTTCCTACAAGGATCTAAGGAGGCCTATTGTGTAGATGGAGTGTGGACTACACCGCCATTGTGTTTAGGTATGTACCTGCTAAACACCCCCCTGCTTCACTCTGCTGTGGAGAGGTGTCACGACACAGATGTGACATTTTATTTTCTTTACTTGTTTTATTGACTTTCCTATTCAATCACTAGGTTCTGATTTTCTTTGTATTACGAATAACTGTAGTCCATTTACTCTTACAAATGCTTACTAAGCACAAACAGCGCATTACATACTAATCTGATGTTACATTTTAAGATGAATAAGCCATAATGTGAGAAACAGTGTGATTGATACTATAATACAAAATAAAAAGAGTATTCAGAATACATTATATACATGTATGAAATTGTCAAATAGCTAAATTAATCATTAAAAAATGAAAAAAAAAGATAGACAAAGAAAATCCTAATATCTCCAGGCCTTGAACTGTATGTGGAATTGGGGGCACAGCACACCAACACAATATGTGGGAGGAGAAAATAATGCCCAAGTGTCCTGAGGCCTAAAGAATAAAGGAATGAATTTCTAGTGAGTCTCAGAAACTAAGGTTTCACGATTTGTGTCTTCTTGTCAGTTACCAAAAGAAATACTGTGAATTCTTTGTACACTTAAAGTTTTTCTCATTTTAATTCTTTTTTTTTTTGTTTGTTGGTTTGGTTTTGTTTGTTTGTTTGTTTTTTCGAGACAGGGTTTCTCTGTGTAGCTTTGTGCCTTTCTTGGATCTTGCTCTGTAGACCAGGCTGGCCTCGAACTCACAGAGATCCGCCTGGCTCTGCCTCCC